CCTGTACATGTATAAAGACCAGGGGCAGATTGTTCCCTGGGGGCAACAGTGTTCAGCCTCAACAGAACTTTATCCTTTTCAATGAATTCTTTCTCTGTTTTACTTCCCTCCAGCTCCATGTGCAGCAGTGTGTGCTTACTGGTGCCAGTCCTGGCACCAAAACACACCAGAACTGAAAGTGCATACAGCACCTGTGCAAGGGGGAAATCCCCCTGTCTCCTGACCAGATAAAAGCATTAGAACTGCTACTGGTAAAAAAAGATGTAAAAAGATACAAAAATATATAGAGGGTTCCCCACACAGGTGGTTGCCTGTTCCCCACACAATGGTGAACTGGAAAGCAGGGCACCCTGGTTCTGAATTTCTTTTTCCTTTTTTTTCTTTTGTATTTTTCCCCAGGCACAATTTCAATGTGTAGGTATTGGAGGATTCACCAGATTCATCTGGGCACAAACATGTGTAGAAGATCACTAACCTTCAATGAGCAGACAATTGCATTTATATATTTAACCTGCTCAGAAAGAAGTGCATTATGTATTTAAAAAAAAAAAAAAAGGGTTTTTTTTGTTTGTTTGTTTTGTTTTTTTAACAAATAGATGGTATGTATCTTTTCTCCTTTTCTTGCTGATTGGTAAACACAATCTTCCAAAAGCAAATGTTAATATAAGTACCAGGTTTACGGTTTCAAGTTTGATTTTCTTTGGCAATTTAATCTGCATGATGATTTTGATCAAATGCCTCAGCTTATAACATTTGTAACATATGATAAAATCTACCCCCAAAAAAGCTCGTATTTAAATAATCATATAATAAGTTGAAGGCACACTGACAGCACATGAATTATCTAACAGGCTGCAGATGAACACCAGTTTAGTCTGGAAGACAGATACAAGCACCGAGTGCAGTTTTAGCACTGAAGATAAGAGTGTTATCCTCTGCCTGCTTCTATTTAAAATCAATGAAAAAGGGTAAAAAGATAAACTGGTCAGAGCTTGATGTAAAGCATGTGGCTGAAAACGAATTTGCTAATTGTTGAAAATTTGCACCATTGAAGAAAGATGATTTAAAACAGAGGTTCACAATAGGGTGCACGCTACCATTGGTAACTCTTTCACTTGCTCTAGGCCTTTGTAGTGCTGTGGGCTCAATGTCTTTATTTAGTCTTTGACTGTATGAAGGGAGATAGTGAATAATATTAATCACTGAACCTTCCCTCACGTTTCCCCTGTGAGGTGACCATGACTAATGAAAATCTGAGCTATGCTGGTAAACTGATATCAGTGAAAGAGTCACTTTTTCTTTGCCTGACTGGATAAATATGCAGCTGGTTTTGGAATCAGTTCTTCCGTGAGTGAAATTAAAATGCCCCTATATATATATGCAACAGAATTTAGTCACCAGAAATGTCATGGCCGATAAATACAAAAGATGCAAGACTATAAGCAGTACATGTAGAAAATCAAGTGAATGCTCCTGCTTAATATTTTGGCTTCATCCATTTTTTAAAAGCTCCGGTGGTGGTTCTGTGTGTAAATGTTTCTACCTTTTGATACAGATTCCTTTTATCACAAAGCACTACATTCAGTTTAAGACTAGTCCAAAATAACTGTAGTTGCTGGTTAACATTCTTAAGCTTGAAGCTTTTAATTCTGTTCTGATGTTATTTTTTAAAGGAAATCGTCTAATTTCTATAAAACAGAAAAATCAAATATAGCTATGTATTTTCTCATGTTCCAGGAATTCTAAAAGGGTTTCAGGACCAGATTGTTCTGTTCTTAATTCATTCCCTGTGCTTTGATCCACGGGTGCATGCTGGTGAGCAAACCATTGTGGGTGCCTGGCAGGGAGGCCCCCAGCACTTCCCCGCACACGCAGCACCTGCGGCATCCACGGCTCTGGGGGCGGGCAGAGAGGCAGCACAGGGCACAGTTGCATCTATTGTGCCTCTTTTTCTGAGGGCAGCAAACCTTCCTGTAGCAACCAGACCCTGCTGACCGCTACACCCATGCAGCATAAACCCCGAATGCAAGAAGATAACAGCTGCTATCACAGAGCTTTTCATCTGGGAGGCAAAGTCTAAAATTGCATCTGACCTCTGTGTGTGCAGAGACGCCAAGTGATGAGCGCTCTGCCTGGCTCCTCAGAGGTTTCAGATTAAATCAGTACGAGTGAGGTACCTAAATGAATAGTTCCGGGGATAATAGCTTCTGTGTCTTCTACCCATGTGTGGTACAAAGTAGACTCCAAACTGTAATTCATCAGATGATATATTGTGAGCCTTGGAAAACACAACAGGACTTCTGTGTTGTTTTTTTTCCCGTAATGGGTTTACTAATATATAAAATTACAACACTCCACTTACTTACAGAATCATACAAGTAATTAAATTAGCTATAGTATAGATTTAACTTACTTATTTCTAAGTCAGGCTTCTGGTTGCCCTAGGTGAATGGTTTTTAGCCACAAAGCTCCATAATAATAGATTTTCCTAATAATGCCAATAGGGTGTGTATTACGAAAAATATACAAACACATCTGTCTGTTGAGTGTGTGTGTGTATATCTGTCTTTGCATGTATACATTTCTATACAGCACAGGCTCAGGGAAAAACAGATCAAATCCACATGTTACATGTCTAGAGAAATAATGGTTTTGAGCTTTGCCAAGAAAACAGAATGAGTTCTTATTTTTCTTGTATGTTGGGATCTGCCTGCTTGCCAAGTCATTTGTTTAGATTTCAGTGGAAAAATAGTAAGACATACTAGAAAATTAAATTAATTGGAATTCTGTTCCACCATGATAAGACTTGAAATGAGATTTAAATCAGTGTGCGCTTGGTAAAACATGGCAATTTGATGTCTGTTCCATAAAACTGACAACTGCATCCAGTTGTTTTTCTTCTGAATTTGATGAGATAATTTGGTCAAAACTTGGAGAAAATCTAACAGTTACACAATCAGACAGATTTGTTCAGAAAATTACAGCATAGTGAGGGAAACTCAATTAGTTTTGTCAGCAAATATAAAGGCACTAGCCTGCATTTCCAGAAACTGTCCAAAGCTTTTACAAATACTCTTGATTCAGCTAAAATAAAGCTAATTATATGTTGGGCTCAAAAAAGCCTCATTAAAACAACATTTTGTGTCATAATGTCCAAACCTGAAAAGATAGGAAATACTGCAATTAGTAAGCAATTGCTCTGACAAACTGGTGTGTGTATATATATATATTATTAATCATATGACTACAAAACTTGCTCTGCAGCCTTCCAGATGTGTTCAGTATCCCAGTTACTTAATATCTTTTTTAGACCCACTATGTGGACATGGTGTTTACTTTATTCAAATTCTACTGCAGAGAACATACTGATTTCTGTTTTCATTTTTCCCCCTGTAGTTTCTGTCACTGCAATATTTCAATGCTTCACAAATTCTAATGCTTGTTTTGCCAGTAAGAAAGGTAAGGTACAGGGTGGTGACAACCTTCTTCTGCATAAGGGGTGCAAGGCAGAGGGAGACCCTGTGATTTCTGAGTGCTTTGTTTGGGAGATAGCTAGGACCCGATTTGGCAAAAAAATTAATAATAGAGAACTTTGAGACTTGAAACACTACTTCACCTGCTCTCTGCTGCAACTCTAAGTGCCCAGTAATTTTGTGAATCAAAACCCTAGTGCAAGCATCTGGAAAACGAGAATACAGTTAACAACCATGTGTGAAAAGGATGGCTGAAATGACCTGCCAAACATAAAGAGGAGGTTTCTGGCAGAAGTTGAGAAGTAAAATTTTCTCAGGTAGCACTGAATAGTGTTGCCCATGCAAACTTCCTTTTTCTTCATATACTCTCTTTAATTCTAATCAGTGAATTATCATGATCTTTCCTGAAACTCTTCATTTATGCTTTTGTTTCCAGATATATTTGTTGTCACAAGTCCAGCTTTTCTACTTCAGAGGCATCTCTTGGATACTCATCACTTGGAGAGGCAGTGGAAATCTCTAGCTTTACTGTTTGTTTGTTTGTTTCTTTTTAATTTATGATATAAGATTTGCATTTGTTTTAGAGCATTTAGAACATTTGCATTATTGACCAATTTTATAATATTTGGCTAATTGGTGTCAGTAATTACATTTTCTGTGTTTCTCAGTCAAGAATCACAAGTAAGCTCTTGTAGAAATATGTCTTTAATGTGTGAGTGTAAGAATGGAGAGAGGCAATGAGAAAAGCTGAAGGAAACACATAAGAGGACTCTCCAGTGTTTCTGGAAGTAGATGATCAAAACAGTTATTAAAAAAAAAATGTTAAGAATTTACTACAGACAGAATTTGCAATAGAAGTCTAATCCTATATATACTGAAGTGGTATTTCCACTAATTTTTTTATAAGACCTGTTAACCAGAAGAGAAGCTAAATATATAACTAAGCATTGAAACAGCATCTGCCCAAGCACCATTTAAGAAAAATTTCAGCTCTTGTTTTAAAGGATGTTAAATATACCTCCATTTTTTCCAACCTTTAGCTTTCATCTAGTTTTCACTAATTATTATAGCTAATGAGTCAGTGTTTTGCAGTTATCATCCAGTTTTAAGGTATGAAAGGTTAACTTACTCAAGAAGTTGAAGTCCAGGACAGAAAAAAAAGTGAACGTGCAGAGAAATCGCCTTTTATCTTTTAGGAAGAATTCTGAATTTGAAGTTAATATGCTGATGTTTTATATACAAAACTTATTCACAGTTGTCAAGACACGTGTGTTTACATCGCTCAGTGGGAGCTCCTCGAGGTGTTAGTGAGAGAGAGAGAGAAGACACTGAAAGTGCGTTGAAATAAACGGATGGCACAGTCAGTGTCCTCAGCTGGGAGTCTCCCAACAGGTTCAGGCATTATGGCATTCTTACAGCTCATAGAGCATTCTGCTCATTTTCTGCTCTTCAGTAGCTGCACATGATAGCACACAGACCCAGAGGCAGCAAAGTTGCATGAGAGGGGCGACTCTCAGAGTTACTTACGTTGACAGCCCAAGCTGTGCCAGAAATATCCCGGCAGACATTTATCACATTTAGGCCCTGATGTTCCCTCCTTACACTCACAAAATCCTCTGTCATTACAGCGATCATGGACTGAACCAAAAGGGTTACAATAACAGTCTGCAGAAACAAGACAACACATACACACTGGATTCAGGTCTACATGTGGTGATAATTCATTCAATACCAATAAAGGGTGCATTTCCAGTGCTAAAGGTAAAGGAAGACTGTCTGTTATGGATATCTAGAGTAGTGAATATAACTACTACTTGTCCATTTATTTGTTTGCATATGTCATTTCAGGAAGAGACGTTTTATGATGTGGAGAGAAAAAGTAAACAGAAAAGATATAAAGGCAGAAGATTACACGGGTCTTTGAGGGTAAGTGATTGTAACAGATTGTCTTTTGGCAAAAATATTTTTGATAATTTAATGAACGTTACAAAAGTTTTGTATAGTATGGATATATCAATGTGCCATCAGGGTGAAAAGTTTCACATTATTAAAATAGGCTTATCTCTGTTACTCAATATTTTCAGAAGTGCTGAATGTCTTTACAGGGCTATATAAATGCACTTAACTTATTTCCAAGATAGTCTTCCTTTATGGTTTTGAGCAGTATAATAATTTTTGTGGATATTTGCCATTAAGTTGGTGAGATTGTATTTATCAGTGACGTTAATAAACCTATTACATATTCCACAATATAAAGCTTGAGGTGAGCACTAATGTAAAGCAAAATGTATCAGAACTGGCTCTGTGCTGCCATTTTAATTTCTCTCACCTCCCAGCGTGCAGATGGAAAATGCAGTGAGGCTCATTCCCTGCTGTATATTTTTCACATGTGTTCAGCTAATTAAAGAATAAGTAGGGAACTCATTTCCTCCCACAACACTTACTGTGTTGTTCATTCACAGCCCTTTTCTTTGGTGTGATTACAATATCCGTGTTCAGCTTTCAGCTAGCTGAACAAAGGCAAGACAGTAGCTGGCAGAGCTCATTTTTGGCACTCCTGTTCTTCAGCTTGGTTATTTATATATTTTTTTTCCCCAAAATGAAGGGTTGTACCTTATATGAATGTAGACCCATGTAGACCCAGAGTAACTTCACTGTCAACTGAGACCGCAGACACCTTTTGGCGGCATCTGATCTCTGCTGCTTCCTCAATCTGGGCAACCTGCTGGGGATCTGGATTTTTATGTCTGTGAATCAGTGCTACTTTGATGACTACCTTTGGCAATTGCTCCCCAGCATTACGTTAAACCTCAATGATATCATAAATGAAAAAATGGAGTTGAACTGGGAAGTTACATATATATATATATATATATGTGTGTATCTCCAATGGAAAAACTGGAACAGGAAAAAAAATTCCAGAAAGACATTTGTCATCTGTTGTCTCACTGTTTATTAACTATAAATTACAGATGGCACTTTGAACATTTGGCATGCTGAAGAAGAATGCCAAACAGGGTTCCACAACAATAATAGAGTCAATTAGCTAGCAACATTCATTAATGAAGTTGAAAACTGACATGCCAAAAATACTGTGCAAGGCTGAGTATTATAGCACAGTGAGTGCCACTTGAAAAGCTGGGAATTCTCATGTTAATCAGATGTATGAAATGCTTGTATAAACAGGCATAAAACTGAAATACATTTTGAATGCAGGAATTAAATTGTGCTTCAAGAGTGTTTATAGAAAATCTTGAAAGACAAAACCTTGGAATTACATTATAAACAGAGGGTCCAATTCTTGTTAAAGAAGCTTTGTTAGACCCAATGGAGTTACAGGAATTTAAATAAGTATTTGTGAAAGAAATGTATGGCCTGTGATACTGAATGTTATAGATACATAATGTTATATTTTCCAGAGAATAAGACTCTGACCCTGAACCAGTGAAACCTTTCCTACTGAACTCTATCACATAAGCACGTTTGAAAGTACCAGGCCCAAACTGTGCTGTTTAAGGGAAAGTAGAAACACAGACTAAGCCAGGCTCTTTTACAAAATTACTATATCAAAACAAAACACCAGACAGACCCAGCAACCTTTAGTAACTGAATCTGTTCTCCACCTTTTCCAATACACAACTGATACCACAGTAATATGACCTACAGAGGTCCACAGAACATCCAGGATCATTGTCCAACGCAATATCACAGGCTGTTTAAGGGAACGCTTCCCAAGACCTTCCAAATACTTAAGACATTAAAAAACTCAAAAGGTCACAATTTCCATGTGCCCCTTACAACAACAGGGCATTAAACAATACTAAGCTAACATTCCCAGACCATCCTAATAAGCAGACCACACACAGGTTCCAGGGTGGGGTAAAAAGCCCTGCAGATCCGAACTGGGAAGGAATTTTCCTCCTAACCTCCATCTGGTGACTGTTGGAAAGGATGGGAAGATTAACAGAAGTAGTCATCTGTTCGCTGAGACTGACTATATGAGTGTGGTGCTGCCACCACAACACAATGAAAGTAAGGAAAAGAAGGTGGGCTGCAGGCTCGCTGCTTATCAGTCTGGGTTGACAGTGGCTAAAGGACAACCCTGGGGGTTCACTTAACCATGTACCATTAGGGCTTCTAAAAGTTTCACAGGTGTTAATTTGAAGCTTAAGCCTAACTGACTGCAAGGTGGGCTTTCTTAAAGGTGTGACAGCAATCACCATTTCAGTATTTATATTGTAAGGCAAGGGCCATGTTTTATTACTCTGGGTCTACTTGGTGGTTTTCATGCTCCCCAGGCTTGCCAGTGTGTGACTTCACTGCAATAGTTATTAGGGCTTTATCAAGACATAAAAAACTCTTCAAGTTGTTAAATTCTTTTTCACGTCAAATTTTAACTTCAGAACACCTTGATTTATTCAGAAACTGCAGTTGCCCACGTGAGGTAATTCTGCAGTTCACTTAAAAATCCACAAATATTTGATATTTCATTTTGAGAAATAAAATTTATTTTGCTTCTGAAGAAATTAAGGGCATCACGAATTTAGATTAAAGCCCACTGTATAATGCATTGCATTTAGTTCACTGGTAAAAACCTTCTCAGTATTCGATTTCTTTAGTTTTAAAAAGTAACAATTTACATTTTCTGCATTTAGTTAGCATCAGCTAAGATCACAGATTTGTTATCCATGTACTTACCATATATGTTTATGAAAACTGTGTAAGCAGTTTTGATAAATCAGAGCCAAAGCCCTCTTAGCTGCCATTAAATTAGCTTATCCAAATATTTTTTACCTTTCTTACATATATGGCAGAAGAGGAAAGAATTAGCCTGGAAAAACAACTTTCATATGGGAATAAGACTTGCACATGTCACTGGAAATCTGCTTATTAAAATGTTCATGTCAACATTTCACTTGTACTTAAGCCACAAAAAACTGATTTTAAACTCGGCGAAAAGAGAAATGAGCGTTTCCAATAGAGCAAGACTGTGCTTGACCTAGAAGGGTGGTGAATCCATCAACTCTCTCAGAGGTGAAAATACACTACATTTTCCAGGATTAAATCTCAGGAGCCCCAGTTCAAGAAAAATATTTTCGGCACAAGCTTCTCTGTTTTCTGAAAAGTGCTTAGGTATCTTCTCCATTTCACTGATTTTACACATGAAGTAGTAGGAAAGACTTCTTAAGTTGGCAAATCAGCTAGGATACGTACTTGAGGACACATATATTTTGTATGCAGTATGACCACTGTGACTGTGAAAACTGTTATTTATTTAAAATAAATACCTAATATGTAGCAAACTACGTTTGGAGCCTACAGTTATTTCACGTGGTACAATTCTCATGGGAGCCCAAGGGAATTCTGCTTTCCTTAAGGTGGAAAGTCAGCAAATGTTCACATTCCTTTTTTCCCCCAGACCCTTGTTAAATTAAAGGGTTTTAAATTTTATTTCTGCAGTCTAGGCAATTGCAAAGTGCATAGTTTTTTTACTAAGATATTCTAAATATATCACTTGTAAACTAATGTAAAAATTACTTTTTTTTGACTTCTCATTTACTAACTTCCTTGTCTTATGTAGCTACAGCTGCTGTCTTAGCATTTCAGTGTACATGGGAAAACAATGTGCTGAATGAGCAGATGAAAAATTCCAAACAGAGTAATTTAGAGTCATATTCATTAGGCCTATTTAAGCAGCTGAAATTATACAGCCCTGGTGTCATACCAATGATGTCTGTCATCGACATCAAACAAATATGTGGGGCAGTGGTTTTTTTCCAAGAACATTTGATTGTGTTAATCTCCTCAGCACAGTCATACAAAATCATGACTTGCCTACTAAATTTCTTATTAGCTCAGACTAATTACTGTCAAAGGAGATCATGCATTTTCTGAATGCGTTGCCAAGCAAAGTTAAAAGGACACATGAAATGCAGTGCGTGGATGGATCTGTGTGTTTAATCACAAAGTAAAATGTAAATCTGTCAAGTTACAAACTGAAACAAATAATAGCAACCTAAATAGTTTCTGGCTTGAATCTCAGCAATGCATTATAAAGAATATGAAAATATAATTTATTCATCCATAGTCTACTTTGGCATTAATAGATCTGCTAACTACTCTTTTTGCTTCCTGGAAAATGGAAAGAAAAAAAAATCACAGTGATAATCCAAAAAAGGTTCTACTGATGCTTATGTTAATAAGAAGCATTAGATAATTAAATTCTCTACTTCTGTTTGTTATTAGAACAGTGTCTTTTGTGGCTATCCATTAACTACTGACCATTGTAGGAGGCTTCCTTTATTGGCTATGTCCAGTCTTCACCTGAGGTGTCCTCACGTGTGCTATATACTGTCGGTGGTGACATGAGAACAATGCATATTCTTCTAGTGTGATAAAGATCTCAATTTTTTTACTAATATGCTTCTCTTATTATGTTTTGACATTTTCTCTAAATCTGCAATTTGAATATTTATAGCAGATGCTCATTCTAAAGCACTGTTTTCATCTCTGAATTCCTTTTCTAATTGACATCATGTCGAGCTGATTTGACAAATTCTGTTCCTAACCTCATGGGCATAATTTCAGTTTCTCCTCTTAGGAGAGAGGAGGTAACACTGCATTTATAGCCCCGTGCCTGGGAGCAGCAGAAGCAGCTGCAATATGTTTTTGTGAATTTAGTGACTAAAACAGTTTAATAAAAATCACTCTCCACATCCTGTTGACGCAGGTGGCAACTTTTGTAGGTCTTCAGACAAGTATTCAAGAGTTTGTACTAGTAATTGCAAAAGTTGAGCTTGGAACAGGTGAGAGACTCAACTCATTTGAGACTCAACCCTTTAGTTTTGACATGAGTGACCCCAGCGTGGCTCCCTCCTGTGCAAGGACAGCACAACCAGTTTCTCAGGGACTGCTGGGGGGGTAAGGACCCTTAGACAGAGAGTTTCGTCATCATATACAGATTCAAAATGCCTCCTTGGGGCTACCAGGGCAATGGAAATGAGGCAAGAAGTCTACACAGATGTTCTCATCCATTGAAAAAGCTCATTCTGGCTTAACTGTCAAGTAAGCAGCAGTGGTCCCTAGCAGCTGCCGGTGGCTGAAAAGGCACAGAAGAAAAGCCGCAGTTATCCCGGGACTGACCTATGCACACATTTTCATCGTCCAGCTCTGCAGAAGCATTTCTGAAGTAGCCCAGCCTGCATAACTCACAGTGCTGACCTCTAGTGTTGTGCTTACAGCTCACGCAAATGACCGTATTGAGCAGCTCGATGTAACTGCACCGGTTGGAGTGCCCGAAGCATTCACAGTCTTTCAAGGAAGAACAGAAATGTATACAAAGTGTATACAGCAGCAGAGTAATAGCACATTACATGCTTAGTAAAAATGAACCATGAGCAGAAATATGAATGAATGGCACATACATGTTAATCAATGTAACATGGACAACAGCAGATGTCTATCTGCAATGAAAGTGGAGTTTATTTCAGGCAGGTTAGCGTGACCCGGCAACCATGGCATGACATCGAAGGTTGGCTGTTGTTGGTAGACCTGATGGAACTGAAGCATTTGCAGTTGTAAACCTTTCAGGGTTACTGGAGGCTCTATAGTTTCTGCTGATAGAAATGCACATATTTTTGCACGTTTGAGATGAGTATAAATCAAGATCCAGGAAAAACTTCCTCATATTAAAAATGTTAAATTCAGCGGACAAAATTGTCAAACTTCCTTATGCCTAAATCCACAACTGTAAGTAAAATAAATGTCTTTTTTTTTTTTTTTCTGACAGAAATTGTGAGCATTTCAAAATGCTACTGAACTTGGGGTGCTATAATTGATAGGCACCTTGGGAACCAGACTGTTCTATTTCAAAACTAAACAAATCTCTAGTTTGACAATTTTGGCCAGCACCTCATAAAACAATAAACGGAGAAGAAAAGGAAGGAAGAGAGTTGTTATTTGAGAGCTACTTCCACTGTACTTTTGAGGTAAGCATTAACACATTTTTGTATTCTGTGATGAGAAACAATTGGGCCAGAAAAGATCATGAAAATTCTGAAATGTGTACTGAATAGAAAGCATGCTTACTGCAGCCATCTCAAATGCAGTTGGCGTGACAGCCGCTTTTAAAAACCCCCTTCATTAAACATGGAATGCTAGTGCCTTTTAGTCTTTAATCACAAGCAATGCTTGGCTTTATGCAGAATGAAGGAGAAATTAGAAAGGTATCAATAACATTATAGAAGGCACAGCTACGCTCTGTGTTGTAAGCCTGAGCACTCAGCCCACAATGAATGCAGGAAAGCTTATTAGGATGATCAGAGAAGTAGAGAGGCTATTTAAAAAGAGAAGACTATGATAATTTCACTTGTTTAGTCTAGGAAACTGATGATAGAAGATATCAATGGGCTATAAATACATCACGAGTTAGCCTTCTGCCATCCTAATGGACAACACTGCAACAAGAACAAGTGGGTGTTAACTGGCAGTTGAGAAATTTCAACTGGAAATTAGGAGATGGTATCTAGCCATTAGGGCCCTGAGGTTCTTGAACACTTTCAATTTGTAGCAAAACACACTGATGCTTTATAGATGTAGGTTATTAACTGGTGGAAGAAATTGCAGTATGTTTCCTTCAGTAATGGAGCACTGGATGCAGTGACTTGGAAGGGCTTCAAGGTCTTGAAGTTAACTTCTCTTGTAATTAGATAAAGCTGTAGCAGAGGGTGTAAAATGTTTCCATACACGACAGAGGCCAAATACCTTGTGCTGCTTTTCCTCTGGTCTCCTCCTAATTACTCTGGGACACCTCATGAGCCTCTGATTGCTGGAGGTGGGCATCAGATACAATATTTGTGCCTGTCTATATTTGTAGAAAGAAATAATAGTGCTTGTACATGTTTCTGAGCATGCTATGCCCACCTAATACAAACACATTTCTTTGGCTTTTGTCTGATGTAGTGGACTGTAAATAGATTGCATTTTTTCTTAGACATTTAGCACAACATATGTTTCAATCTTGAGAGCTGCCTTTCTCCTGCCAGGAAACATTAATTAATTTTACATATACACATTTAGTTAACATATATTTCTTGTTCTCTTTGGTACTACACTGCTAAATCAGTGTTTTATGGTTCATGTCAATCTGATAATTTTGATGCCTCTAAGTGCTGGAGTACAAGAAAACATTTGGCGTTATCAGTCTCAATTGAGACAAATGAGTAGGGATGAGAAATATGTTAATGTCTGTTGTCTTTTGCAGTTGGTCAGTGTGATTCAGCATCTCAAGTGAAAACTGGCTATGTGAGGCAGAGAAAAGAGATGTTAAAGTGGAACCTAGCACTAGCAAAATAGGAATCACAGAAAATTGTTAGAATTATAGAAGTTTTTATGTTTGATTTTTAAAATAAGGAAGACTGGCTAGTGATAAGCAATCAATCTGAATTTTGGATTCAGAAGCAAGGCTGTCTTAGTCTCTGTCTGACAAAGGACCTGTCTTCTACTACCATAAGGCAATTTATTTTGGTGAGATGATACTGTATTGGTATGTTTGTCAGACTTGCTAAACATTTTCATACTGAAGGTGCATTTAGAGGAAATAATTTACCTTGTTTTTCAAATTAGTAACAGGCAACCCAATGCTACATTGTTATGTTTCCAAAATACGCAGACTACAATGCAGGCTATGCTACATCATCTTTTGTGTTTAAAGTAGCAGAAAGAAATGGAGAATATTCTCTGAATGAATGACTGCACTACTTCCACTTTGAAACTTTGATATGACCTTCATTAATATTACTACTACACATAATTACAAGCACATTACAAAAGCACAAGAAAAAAAGCTGCACATTTAAGTAATTCACTCTATAGCAAGGCTTGCTCCAAATTATGATTTGGAGTGAAGAAGTATCTGATAATTACGAAGGACTTGGATGTACACACATGCTCCTAAACATATGCAAAAGGACTACCCAAGTTTATTATTGTGGGTCATCGATATTAAAGGTAAACTATGAGACCAGTTCTTGTACTTGCTTGCGTTTATATGGGTACTACTCTTGTAGCAACTGTGCTGTGTAAAAGAAAGTCTTTAGCTGAAAGTTAACTTATGCTAAGGTACAGGAAAACTCTAGGAGTCTTGATCTGACTAGTAAATTCTACATGGTGTAGAAAAACCCCCACAGCTAACTTGAAAACAGTCTAACATCTGATCAAACATTAATAATGGCAAAAGGAAAAAGAAAAAGAGGCACGGTAAGTAATGATTAAATCAATTTTGTGCTAATGTGTGCTTCTCCCCTGTCTCCCCACCATTTTGCTAGTGTAATAATTTGCTGGTGTTGGCCTGATAAGTGAATCATTCTTACATCTCTCTGTGTTTACAAAAATAAGCTATGTTAGGAGTCCTTATATTATTGAAATGGAATTATTTTCTCTACTGGCTACATGAGGTGCTAAACCACTCAAATATAGCACATAGAATTGCATTCAGCATCATGCCAGCTGGGGAGCTAATACTTGTCAGTGCTGTGTGGCCTGTCTACCTTATCACGTGGTTCACCTTGACCAGAAAGTAGCTTGCTTGTTAGAATTGTCAGAAGCACAGCTTAGGTATTTAGGCACACATCTCTGGTTTAGCAGCCTAACCACTTTCATGCGCTGGCAAAGTCATGCAATCACTGAAAGAGATGGGGGAGAAGTATCAAACTCAGGCTGCACACGGTTTACAAACAGTGGAATGACAGGAGTGTCTTACAGAGCTAGAAAATGCTGCTTTCAGTTCTGAGTACCACATGTTAGGAAAGACACAGATAAGTTGAGTAACAATCAGGAGTGAATGGTTTGAAAACTAAATTCTCAGAGGAGAGGTAATGATAGCTAGACAGGTTTAATGTGAAGGAAGAAGGGAGAAGAGATTGCCATGTTAGATGTGATCATTGTCTTTGGATGATTCAGGAATTGTCAAACCCCTTGCAAACTCATGGAAGCAATGACTCTATCAGCCTTTAAAAACTATTTTCAAATGCAATGATTCTAGTGCAACAATCTTGATCCTGCTGCAGAAAGTATGATAAAATTACCCACTGAAGGAGGCTCATGAACAGGTTGATAATCTAATTGTTTTGTTTCTAAAAATTGAACACTTTTCGCCCCATTATAATGTTATGCATTTACATCTTTGAGATTGAGATACTGTTGTTGTGAAGACGAGGTTCAGCTGAAGCTTCAGCTGCAACCAGTAAAACATGAAATGCCATCACATGAAACAATGGTAAACACACACGGGAGGGTCTCAGTTTTTAAACTAAGACAGGTAATGCACAAGACAGCTATCAGTGTGACTTTCCAATATAAAAGCATAAAGCATATTTCAAGTAAAATGCACTCAGAAATCATTACATTATTTTTCCTTTCTCATTCTCCAGGAACTCCGTGTTCCTCCTCCATACACTACAGCAAACAAAGGAGATTTCACTGTACCCTTAGAAATTATCTGCTTTGCAACAAGCTGTATGGCTCATTACCATGATCTCATCAAATGGGTCAAACTAAGTTCAAACATTTGTTAATAACCCTATTCCTTGTCAATATGTATTTCATGAATAATGAGATATTCACAATAGCTACAGAAAGACAAAACATCTTCATACATACACTTTACAGATAAACTGATGAGGAGAAACAATGAAGAGATCTCAGGGTTCAGACTGTGAATGACAGATATGCTAATGAAGCGGGTTGCCCGTAAGTCAGAGAGAATACTGGCATCCTTTATTATGCCTATAAAATTCCATTATTTTGATAAAACACTGAACAGTTCAAAATGTAATGCCTACACTCTGAATTTGCACACTTACAATAAAATGAAGATGTAAGGCACACTTACAATGCATTAAAAGACATAACAATGCATTACACTCCATGGCATTTACAGATACTTTTTGAGGACATGGACAATTGATGTTTTCTGTATTGTTTTCCCTCAACTAATCTGCTTATGTTTCCTCTTTTACAATTTATGCATATCAGTGAGGAACACAAGACTCTAGTAAGCATTTGCTTTCTAGGCAAGGATCTGAATGGTCATATTCATACATTTTACTCCTTTAAAAATAAATGCCATGTCACTTTATTTGCCAGACACCACTTTCTAAGAAGGAGATTTATTTTTCTTTGTATGGCCTGTGTTTACACAGCTTAATGCTTCTGTTGTATTCAATGAAGATGCCTCACTAGTAAACTAATGGGTACACTTCACAGATATTCCAGATTCATATAGTGCAATGTTTTCACAACACAGGGCACTATGGAAACACTGTATGAATCCTAGAATTCCTACCTCTCTTGTGGTTTGCAACTTGAACAGAAGAAACAGTTGACATAGCTAATTTGGGAGCAACTGGATAGTAATAAAATGAACAGTAAATTAGAAAAGGTATCACATAGGAACAAATCAAAAGATTAAAATAAACATCTTTATTTTCTAATTTTTAAATTAAATTTAACAACGGTTATTGTTTTGTAAGGAAAGAGTAAAAACAGAGAAAATGAGTTATATACTCTTAACTATTGAATCATTTGAGCTGGAATATCCAAGATCAAAACGGGGAATATAATTCCCATTGACACACTTTGGCAGTTTTATGTTAGAGATTATTTGGTGATTTCTCCCAATCCATGACAAATGACTGTACAGTAACCAGAGTGGTCTGACAAGGGTTTAATTGAATTTGTATGCATATTTATTCTGGCCAAATAGTATAAATTTAAACCCCACAATAAAACAATTAGATATAGGCAGATTTCTGTAATTATTCTTTTCATACACTATCCCTAACTGAAGTATTTAATCTACAATAAATGTAAACACTAACAATATGCTGCAAACATACACAAACTGAATAGAAATACTTGTAACTTTCTGTGTTTTATGTTCCCTAACAAAACATCAAAACTAAGTTTACTTAAACTCTTTATTTTTGGGGAAGAAACACTAAATAATTCTGTGCTGTTCAAGACGTATTTTGCAACAAAGTTAAGTCTTAGATCACTCACAGTATAATTAAGCTATGAAATCCATTAGAAATGCTAAGTATAATTTAATGGGGAATGTTTTGATTTAAAATTCCTGTGAATAATGTAGGCTAATCCTTACAGAAAGCAGAGGAACAGAGATCAATCTGTTTTTTTTCTGTTTGTTTGTTTAAGGAACACATGCAAAAGCTTGGAAAATATAACATGGGCTAAATGAAGTTATTGAAATGCTAAGTATCACTTTATTAGGGATATTTAGTTAAAAATATATATGAATAATCTGAACTATAGTACATTGTTAATTCTCAAAGACAACTAAGGTCAATTAGTATTTTCTGGTTTTTTGGGCACACAGAAACTTGCACATATAACATTGGAGATTTTACATGCATGTGTTTTGATTTGGTCATTGTGATCCATAAATTTAATTACAGCCCTTCCAATGTAATTCCCAACACATCTTTGGTTTCGTGGCTCTTTTCTAGACTTCTTTTCATTAATTTTATTCTCCACCTCTGTGTGTTATAGCACAGAAAGGACACCTTTGAACAGTGAAGGCAAGCCACAGGCCAGATTTCTGCAGGGATTTTTGAAGAGGAAAGGGCAGTAAGTAAGAAGAACAAAAGGACATTATTTTTATAATGAACAATCATTCTGAAGTGTGAAGTATGGCTGAATACTTCTTCAAACAACAAAGAACCTTACTTTTATTTGTCATAAAAGGTAATTTTGTTTCTTTCAATGCTAATCATCGTGCCACGGTCTGTGAGTAACTTTTCGTGTGGCGCTCAAATTGTAGAAACCCATGAGACTGTCCTGCAGAGAACTTGCTTGTATTGTGGATGGCATGAAAGCTGAGAATGCTTCTCAGCTCACTTGGGAAAACAAAATGGAAACAAGACATTAAAAATGGGTTTGATGTAGACAATGACAATCTTTTTCACTCAAAAATCTCAAAACTTACTCGAAATATAGACTGTGCTGTCTAAACAAGTCCAACATTATCTAGAGCTTTCTGTATATCAGTACTTATAATCTGTGTGTTTACTTTTTCAGACTTTCTGCAGTAATGTGTACAGTCTGATTGATGGAAGACCCTTTTTTCAGGTAAGGTTTGTTTTATAGTTATTTTCTCACAGGATAGCATTACTTAGTACCAGAGAAAAGTGAGCTGGATTATCATAGGGTTTTTTTGCCACCATGTGGGATTCAAAAGCAATTTCAGTAACTTAAGACCACTAGGAATTTTACAGCATCCTACCTTGGTTTGGTTTAGAAACCTCAAGGGAAGAAATATTCGGCCATATCCTATCAAACTTTGGAGGATCTGCATGCATCAGGAAAAATCAGGTTTTGTTATTTACATCTGTGTTATTGTTCTAAACAGGCAAGCATATGGACAAAGACACAGATTACAAACATCTATTACTGGACTAGTCTAAGTTGCATTTGAACAGTACACGACTCCACAGTGAACAAGAAAACAAGCAATTGATGATTCCCAAAACACCAAATGGACATAAAATACTGTGCATAACAATTTATCTTCTGTGGCTTAAAATATAATTTTTCATGATGAGAAGATATCCTAGGGCAATATATATGGTTCTAACACCAGGAACATATTCTGTTAAATCTGCTCTGCAGAGATAAAATGACAGTATCAGACAAATATGGATTTCTTAGCAAAGACACATATCTTACCTTAACATCCTGTTATAGGGCCTTTTGAGTGAATTACGTATCTGTTATCGGAAGAAATATATTTACCAGTAGAGTGGGCCTTTTCTTCGTTTCTCAAAGTTTTGTGTGTTTCATCTATTTCCTATCACCTCTGCTGGTATATTTTAAAGCTTAATTTTTTTTTTTTTTTTTGTCAGAACATTAAATGTCTACATTTCTTAGAAATCCTACATAATGTGTTACTTGCATGAAGCATCTTGTGTTGCAGCAAAAGAACTATCTGTGTCTCTTTAGAGCTTTATCTCCTTTGGTTAATGTGTTATGGGCCTGGAGTAGAGGGGAGTGACAATTCTTAGCAGAAGAGTGCTGGGTGTTGGAGCTGAGAATATGTGAAGGGGATGGGAGAGGGGGTTGTGGAGGAAGGAAAGAAAACTTTTTTTTTATTTTCCATTTCCATCTGCCTAGTTTTAAACATCAGATTTGGACCCTGTTTTTATCATCTTCTTTGAGTACAGCAGTGGTTGTGTTTTCTCTGAGCCAAAAAGAATTTTTCTTAATGGTCACATCAGCCTACATATGGTAATACTAGTGGGAAGAGAGCTTATTCCTTCACTTCTATCTAGGAGGAATTCAGTTGGGTAGTTGAGCAGACTGCAGTTGTCACAACCTGGTTGGCATCAAGGGTCTAGGCTTACCTGCCTTTATGAAGATGTGTTTCACTGTTATGTCCATCTTAGTGGGAGACGTGCAGTGAAGCTGTGACAAAAAGACTGAGGCTTCAAACACCTGATAGGGAAGGAGGGCATCCCAAAGTATCTTCTGACCCATTTGTCAAGGGTGAAGAGAAATTGGCTGGGTGGGGCTGTCTATCTCCAAAGTCCTCCCACATAGAGAACAATTCAGGGAAAGAATGATGACCTGCACTGTGCCATTTACTGTTAGGTAGTCTTCTGCAACTGAATAGGTCAAGGTGTAATCTAATCAAATAATTACAACAGATTATTGCATTTTTGTGCTTTTTCCTTATCAATCCAGAAAACGGAAAAAAGAAAAACTGAGTCAGTTTGGTAGATTCTGAGTCTACATATTGATTAAAAATAACCTGCCTCTGCAGGTCAGATCCACCAATTCACACACATAGGAAGTGCAAACACAACAGTCAGGGTGTATGACAAGCTGTACTTACTGAGGTGGCATGATAACCCAGCCCATCCATTGACAGACTCTACTACCATGCACTTGAGAGACCACCTTTCTCCTCCTGAAACACTGACTGACTGGTTATAGGAAATAAGTTTCAAGCATGCACAGTCAATTCACTATTGAAATTCTGATAGATTTAGGAACACTTAGGCTTGACCTAAACATTTTAAAGGGACTGGACTTTGGAGAACACATATAAAAATGTATTAAAAAAGGAAAAGCAATCTTTATGGACTACATTGTCCTGCTGTCCCCTGAGCCTTTTTCTCTTTCAGCCATTCTGCAGCATCAGAGTTATTGCAGAAAGCTGTTAACATTTCAGACTGGAGTTTCCAATATCCTCCTTGTGTTGTTCAGTACTGTGTGGCACACCTACCACAAAAATTCAAATGTTTGGTGGTCTTCAACTGAAAAGGCTGAGGTATTATCAGAGGTAAAAGTAACAGTGTCAAAGCTTTGTAATGCCTTAGGACTAACCCTCTGGAATATGTCATTTAGTAAACTGCAGGTCCTATCTAGGAAATCAGACATTGACATAATTGGACTGGTATGATCAGTAATATTTCCTATATTATCTATTCTCATTATAATTTCTCCAAGTAATCTCACGTCCAAATAAAATCATGCCTTGTAAGGCAGAATAAAATCAGGGTTGCATATTTCTTAGTGATCCTATAAATGCTATAGATCTGGGCTTGTTTTAGCAAATTTTCTTAAAATGGAGGTTATGACTTACCACAAAATAATTAAAAATTCCCTGACCCTTTAAATTAGCTAACACTGAGCTGAGTGTCTTAATGGACACCCAAAATAATAAAGAACATATTTACAGTGCCTGGAGATTAACAATTAAGTATTAAAACTAGTGATTATTACTAGTTATTAGTGATGATTATAACCATCTTAGAAGGGACTTCTAGAGGTTATTTGTTTCTTATGTTTGCTCGTGGCAGGGTCAATTCTAAAGTTAGATGGGGTTACTGAGGGTCATATCCAGCTGAGACCAGCTGCTGCTTGGTAATGTGAGAGATTAATGAGACTTAATGCTTATATTATGTGCTTTTTTTTGGTCTTTGGTAAAGAAGATATCTTTTTCTCATATCCTTATTCATGGACTGTATTATCATCAGGATTACAGGTTTCTTGATAAAGGTCTTTCTTCATCTCCTTGAATTTATTTATTTTTTTTTTAAATGGAGATGACTTTAAAAGCTTTATCTATAAAGGTATGTGAGATGTCCAAGTCATAGAATGTTGACTGTCATTCCCACACGTATATTGGAGCAGATGAGTCATCCTTTCAACAGGCATTGGGAAGATTCATTTAGCAGCAAGTTATTCTTTCACAGCAACCTGTGAAAATATTTCTAGTCCTTACAGATTACCATTAAGGATTTTATTTATAGAGAAGTTGACTGGATAAACCAATCTTTTCCAGAACACTTCTATGTCTGCACACTGTATTTTGTAATTAGAGTCATTATTTGCCAGAATAATTAAAGAATTTTGGTGTAGGTATATATATAAATTATCCTATGTAAATCTACTGTAATATATTCCATGACAGTTATTCTGGGCAAACAAGGCTACAGAAATGTGAAAGAGAGTTTCTGAATGCATGTTTTAGTGTTGTTATTATTTAAAACTACCGTAGGCACCTTCAAGAGTGGAGGTATGTGAGCTGTTCAGTTGAGCAGAAAATCAGATATGACATTTTAAATTTGCATTGGAAATTTTTGCATTTTTAGTTACTATTGTTCTAAAGCCAATTATATATAGAAAATAACTATGGGAAAAAAAAATCTTACTTTCATGAAGTAGGGAAAAACTGATTCCATTATTTATTAGATGTATGATAATTTCCTTTTTCTCTTCCCAACTTTTTTTTTTTTTTTTATATACACTATCAGATTTACTTTTGATATTAAACAAAGAAAATCTCAAGTATTCACTGGAGGTGCAGTCTGCATCATGGGCTACCTCATAGATTCAGACTGGGGAAATAAAGGAAATGAACAGGTAGTTCCATCCTGATTCCAACCTGACATCTGCACATGAAAAAACCTGTAATGATCTTGGCAGAAATTAGTCAGCACTTTGTGGGTTTCTCACTCCAACCAAGTAATGAGCTGGCACTAAAACTGAAATGCATTCCCACTGAGAGGGGCTATCCTTCCTCAGGGATGAAGAGCAAAGGTGGTGGAGTGGAGTGTATGAACACTCTGCTGCTGCCTGCGCTCTACAGCAGAGTAGCACCCTGTCATCTCCTGAACTGTGTCTGCTGACCCAGCCCACAAACAATGCATTTGCTGTAAATTAATACAAATAAATCAGAAAGTCTTAAATCATGCTCACCTAATGGCAGATAGGGAGCCCTTGTGTTGGCAACTATGATTATTAATTTAATTTTTAAGAACAGTAAGGAACCCTAGAGAGATACTCATATTAAGATGCTTTCTAACTTTCCTTCTTTTTAAAACACAAAAAAGTATAAAAAGAATTGTAAATGTGAACTTGATGATTCAGTAGAAGTTCATGTCTCCAGCCATAGAAAGCTGCCCTTGCCACTGCCTGTTTTAAACCATGAGTAGGCAACAGTAAATAGTTATTCTAAAGTATTCAAAAATATATGCTAGGCACAGTAGAGTTATGGCAGTGTGTTAAGGTGTTAATACTGAACAAAAAAATTAGGAATAATAAAAAATAATGTTCACTTAAATCAATGGCATATTTAGTAACTGCTAGAATAATTGGGTATGTTTATATCAGATCATGTTCCACCACTTCTTGCAAGCATCACACTATCATTATTGCAGCATTTCTATCTCCTTTTGTCTTTTTGAAATCATGATAACCTACCTCACGTAAAGTTTGCCTTTCAGCACTTTCACTGAACTGCCAAATTGAAATCACTGAAAGAGAAGAAATGCTGATTTTTTCTTTTAATCACCCCTTTATCTTATTAAGTTTAAAAAAATACTTGCCAATATTAGGCAATCTTTCTTGGAGCAATGTAGGAAGTTTCATACCTGTTCCTTTGAAGAAAGGAGAATTCTGCATAAATGTGAAGATGGGGTTGTTTTATGACAGCTCCTCAGCCATAACAGCTTTTATAACTGTTGGAAGAATTTAAATGCAATTAGTCCTTCATGTGTCCACTTGTTGTAGACTAAAAGAAAGTGATCTTTATAGAGGATTAAAAAAAAAAAGATAAATCCAGCTCTGGAAATGTCCATTGACTTGGATAAATTGTTGGCTGATTCTCAAACTAATGAGGGCTGAAGGAATTCTTCAATTTTACACATTTCTACTAAAATGTTTGCAGAAGTGCACAATGAATCAAAGTATTTTTTGAATTAAATATTTAGGTACAAATCTCATGAAACAAAAAGTAAATTATTGTGTTGATAGTTTGTAGGGGTTGCTCCTTTTTATTTGAATTGCTTCTGTTTTTTCCTATAAAAATGCTGAAATTTGCTGGTCAGTTGGGATTATTGTATAGTAATACACAACTGATGAACAGGAAATCAAGATCTTTGTTTTCAAATGCTGATTTGGAAATCTCATTCTTTCCTTATACTCCGTGAAATAAACTGATTACATGTCTAAGGGACGGAAAGAAAAAGATGAGAGGGTAACATACAGAAGTGTATTCTTTTTCCAGCAGTTTCTCCCTAAGCTTTATAGATAATTAGATTTTAAAATATCTTTGTGGATCATGACTGCTCTCTACAAACTTCCTTGAGTAACTGAGCTACACCTGCATATTGTAAGTGCTGTGTTTGCATGGGTACCATGGGACCTATTGCAATGTTGGTTATCTTATTTTCTAGAGTGTCCTATAATTTCCTTGTTTATTAATGGTTAAAGATAACTGTCAACTGAGTAATTTTCCTTATATTACAGCAAATCAAAAAGCACTGAAAACACTTTTTGACTGATAGACTGTTTTAAACTGACCTGTGATGATGATGGAGAACTGGAATGAAGAATGAGAAACAATACTAAACTGTCAGTGGCCGTGTCTATGAGACTGGTGAGAACAGCTCTTCTTATCTGTTAAAATTGGTGGATCTGGCAAAACAAAAACTGAAACAAAGGCTCTCCCAAATCCCATCCCAATAACCTGTCAGTGCTCCCTGAAGCAGCATTGGTGGTTTCTGACCCTGCACTCAAATCACTCTGCTGGGATGTTTTCTGCTCAGCGCTGGGGCCAGTTTTGTTTCCTGAACTTCAAGGGTGACACCCTAGTTACACAGGAAAAAAATGGCTTTGTTGTGAATCCTACCAGGTAAAACTACCCATTATGTCTTTTATTTGGACTGTTAAATTTATTTCAGATCCAGTGTTCAAACAAGTATGTCATACCATAAAGGATATCCGTATTTTCTTTCAGCTCAGTAACGTTTTAATATAATGGAAAATCTAATTGTTAAGCAAAAGATTTGGAGTGCTTCAAAGTATCAGAGAAAAAGAGGGAAAGCAGATACTGCTACTGGCTTGATGTTATAATCAGTTATTTAGATAAGTGATTGCCTTAGACTAGGAGCCTGATTAACAGTATTATTTATTAAAAGGTCAGATTTGGATAAAATTGAATTGCAATTAGAACATTTTGCTTGTATGTCCAAAATAATAGATATAGTCTGTTCTAAGGAGATAAACATCTTAATGGTCTCTCAACAGTACAGCTTTCTATAAAACTTGACCTCAAGTAATAATAGAAATAGAAAAGTAATGTACAATCTAGTAATGCATGTTTATATCCCACTGACATGTGTGGGTGTTGTGTATATGCTCTAGTCCAGAGCTTGGCATTGTAACAGCCTTGATCGCACGACTGTAGATTTAATGGGAGAACTTCTTGGTTACTGCAAGGGGGCAAAATCAGGTCCAAAATACCTTGTGTTGTTATTGAAAAGAAAAAGAATCTGCTAGTATTTGCTCTCACAACCTTTTAAGATACGTACTTACCACATTACATTTCACAACAAATATGTAAAACAAGTAAAGCTACACTCACCAGTACACTATTTTAGTTCCAGAAAAACACCTACTAGATTTTTCAAGGTTAAGAAAACAATGAAATAAGACAGTGCCCATTTGGTCTTTTCTCTTTTTTTAACTTCTGTGTCTTGCATTCATTATCATAAAAAAAAAGTTATCTTCATTTGAAATTGGCTATAAAGAAGAACAAAACCACAGAGAACAAAGCAGAAAATACCGTTTGATTATTGTGATTGCATCTTGCACTTGGGTGCACGGTCTGTCTCTAAACTCTGACTCATCTGCCAGCAGCAGGCTTTAAGGTGATAATCACCCACACAGAGCTATTTGCACATCATGTCTATCCTATCCTGTATCTAATTATACCCTTTATAACAAACTGTTTAGCATAATTAGTGGAGTTATGCTTCACAGGAAAAAAGATAGAAGCCATAGTTTAGATGATTCAACTTTTTGAAGGCACACATGTACAGATTAGTGACTTTGGTATTTGGTCACAAAAATGAACATTTTGATGCACCGGTCTATGTAAAATTGTACAATCATTATTTTAGCAAGTAAAATAATGTACTTTTCAGAATATTTACATACTGTATGTAGGCATTGCTTAAAATTATGAAATGGTTTTGGGACTCATTAATTGCTAACACTTTCACCAGTATTTTTCCAGACATGGCTGAAAAGTGCTGAAAGGGCCAGCATTGTAATCAAGAATGCTGGAAATTATCAGAGAACCTATTTTATATATTCAACTGATAGACAACAGCAGGTACAAATGACCTTAATGGGAAAGCTCTGATTTTTTAATTTGTTTTGTTTCCTTCTAGATGATCAGAAAGGATGTTTACTAATGACCACTCTTTCTTTGTGTTCGAACTTTAATAATGAGCTGCTTTAACACAAGATCTTTTGAGGTAAAAAAGGAAAAGAGAATAATACATATATGTGCACACAGGATATTTACTTTTCTTTGTTTGTTTTCATTGCAGTCTTAAAAGTGTTAACTGAACATTACTGGTGTTGGCATCTTCTTTGTATGCTGAAAATTTAGTCTTTTTAACCCCCCTGCCCCAAGCCCATCCTCCTTATACAGTAGGAAAAGCTGGAAGTACACAAAATCCAATATCCCCCCGTAGGTGTTTGTTGCCAGGCAAAATGAAACCCAAACTGCATTTCATGAGAGTAACTTCCTGTCCCCAGATGGGGAAAAACGGTTGATATGAACACAAATACTGTATTAGTGTAGACAAAAGAAAAAATCATGCAGAATCCATTAAAGCAGCCACAACTAAATAATCTCGTTTGGATTTGTGTGTTAATTTTACTTCTGTTGCCTTCTCTTTGACACCAGGATAAATTTATGGATTCTATCCTTGTTTAACTAAAGTTCTGCTATTTCTGTATTATCAGAAAGACGTTCAGATTGTGCAAGTAGAATTATTTTCCCCCATGAGCGATTTAAGAAAAAACACATGGATAAAACAAGCAGAGTATCAGTATTTACTTGAAGAGATGCTCATGCTTCACTCTTTCCAGGAAGGCAAAGAAATTTGTTTAATTCTACAACAAATCATTTCAAGACATTTACAGGAGACTAATGATAAAGCATAGACTTGCAGAAACTCTTGTATTTCCTATGGAATTTTAAATGGAATTTTCTCCATTTGCAATAAATAAACTATACTAATCACTCCAGTGTAAAATGCAAAGAGGTCAACGATGCATCCTTTCAGCTCACCATTGTTCAAAAGGTAATTGAGTTTCCCTATTAAGTTTTCAAAGGCCGACATCTGCTGATGCTCAGAAATGGTAGATGTGGTGATGAAGGCTGTATGGAGTGGGAAGTGAAAACACAACCATATAGACCATGCAACACAGAAACTACAGCACAACCAAACTCCAAAGAGCTATTTTCCCATTCATCCCATTTCTATTATTAATGGCTAGAATATTTCTGACATAAATTTCTCTTTCATTTAGTTCTTCCTTTTTTTTTTTGTTATAAAATATATGTCTAAACACAAAGTTTTGAAAACAGGATATCGCTACAAATTTGCAGTCATGCAAATACCAAAGGAGACACTAGAGCAGGAAAATGCCATTTTTAAGATTGAAGACTTTCATTTGCATGTTATTGTCATTGATGCTGTTTAACTATTTAAAGCTGCAAAACAGATGCCGTGGTGTTCAGCATTAACACTGCTCTCACTTGCAGGGGAGATAGTTTTGATGGTGTTTAACTTGCTGTCAGGAGCTTAACAAATCAGTGCCATTCATGAGCTTCAGTAAACTGACTTGATTTATAAATTGATAGACCTGACCCTGCATCATAAGAAGCGAGACCATTTTACCCAAATTATTAAAAACTTTTCAGCTGGGTACTGGGCATGGCAAATTGCATTTTACAACTGTGATATTTTATAATTGAGATAGTTCTGCATTATACAACTTGTGTCTAAAGTATCTGCAATGCTGAGGCTGTGGGGAATATTCTTTCAGTCAGCCACAACAGGATCCCATTTCTGACTCCCTACTTTATTTGTAATTAGCTAACGTGCCATGACTGTGTGCACTTCTCAGCTATGGAATTCAGCTGAGACTCACAGCTGAGCTGCTGTGCACTTAGTCCCTCCAAGTGTTTTATTTAAGTAGCCATTTATTTCATTGATATAGTGGCTTTTCACATAACAGTGTCACGGTTTTGTTATAGTTTAAGTATAACATTTTGGTCCGTTAATTGCATATAGGAAAGCATTTTTTCTGTGAAGGAACACAATTCTGTTTATTTTGTGGAGTAAAGCCGAGTTCAAAGGCCACTACAGTTAATGCAGATAGCAGCAGATATGCTGTATTTGAAAATCTACTTCATAAAAACGAAAGCTCTTCCATTTATAAACTCTTCCGTTTGCTCTTTGGATTTACACAGATGTACAAACATGAAAATTAATGGTCCTATACTTCTTGGTCCTATACTTGTTATTAGCAAACACTTTCTTTTTCAAGATGTTCAACAAATATTTTCTGTGCAACAGTGTCTTAATTCTTTGTGTAACACTCAATTTCATAAGACTCAGGTTTTTTTTGGTGACAAAAAAACAATCAGAAAATCTGTGGTTGGATTCAGATGAGTTGTCAGGAGCGACATTGTCTCTGACCACATAGTAACAGTTTCATGTTAATGCAACAGGGGAATGCCAGCATGGAGCCCCTGCACTATAAGGCACATTGTCAGAGAAAAATGATCTACAACAGAAAGGGATGTTGGGAAATTAGTTCCGTGAAGCTGAATGACAATGCAAAACAATACTGGTTTTACTACTTACTACCGATACTGGAAATACTGGGTATACCTGTAGAGAAAAAAAAAAAAAAAAAAAAACAAACACAAAGAAGTATAGTTAGCTGTTTGCTGTAGTTGGTTGAGCTATTACATCTAAGATTCTGAAAGCAATTTTAGAACACTGTGGTGGCAACTGCCAATATGTACCCGGACCTTCATAAATGCAGAGTCTTTAGATTTTTCGGTATGGGGCTGCAGGGACCACTAAAATGCACTGACAGATGGGACCTGCACCAGCTCTCTGTACTTCATGAATTTGTTCAGAACACTTTTGTATTTCAACTAACTAGCCATTAAGTTTAATGCTTTAGATAAAAATATCAGTCATGCATGCATTATGCAGATCTAGGAGAGTAATTTAACCAAGGGATAGATGCATTGCTAACTGCTTTGGCCAGCTGCTTAAGTCAGTTGATACCTTCTGTTGCATTAATTGTATAGAGCTATTTTTTCCTCTTTTACCTGACGGTTATCTAAATTAAGCTATGGAAAAGAAAGGTAATTGAGTGAAACAATCTAATACAGTAGGTTGGCCTTATTGGCTAAGCCTCTCATTGATTTTTTTTTTCCTGTGTTCATTTCATTCCTAAACTGAATTAATGCAAGGAAACCATTTTAGAGGCAGGTGAGATTTACCATAAGAGGTGGGGATGCTGAGAAGTAAAACTCCTTTACTGGATAAGCAATGAGGGATCTCATGTTCTATGATGCAGTCCCAAGATCTTGTCAGGTCTGCCCTGAAATGTGTGTATCACAAAATACGGACATGAATCTTTCCTGAAATGCCATTTTCTTAAGATTAAATGCCATTGTTAATGGACTACAGCTAGTCACTTGGGTTAGTCAGAAACTGCAGATCAGTATTTAAATCCTGGAGATTTGCATCCTCTAGGTTAAATACAGTTTGCCTTTTTTAAGTTTTATTGAGTTTTGATGGCACACATTTTGCTGCAGAAATCTGTCTGTTTCTCTGTTAAACATCTGCTCAACTTCTTTCAACATCTATCTTGAAGTTCCCTCTTATTCAGAGATGGCATGGACCTCATTCTGCAATGTAGCAAACTGGAGTGAAGGAATGTCTCGAGTATTAATGATACTCAGTGTAAGCAAGGTTGAAGAGTCAAGTTGGGAACACTTCTAACTCGTGGCATGGCTAAGACAATGCTGAAGTAACATGAATTTGCAGACTGGGGACAGATCTTTTATGCTTCACCACATCAGTCCTGGGGCACATGTCAGAATTGCAGCTCTCTGGTTTCATATCCCATGGCACCCGTGGTCTGGTGGAGCACCGGGCGCCACACTGCAGACAGCACCTGCTGCTCACCCAGCCCTACACTCAGATATTGTTTACAAACTTAATTATATCCACTTCTGCTGAGAATAACGTGTATTTTCCAAAATTTTAGCATCAGAAGGTATTGAAAGCTAAATGAAAATATAACCATAAAAGAACAATACACTCATAGTTCTAAAAGTCACAAAAAAACTTTTTTTTCAGTTAGGATTATGTACGAAAATTTCTATCCCTTTCTCTTATATGTCAAGAAGACAATCAATTTTCAAATAATTTTCCCTGAAGTTTCAATAGCAGCTTGTTTAAACTTTTGTGAGTCATTGCAGCTAGTTTAAATTAGCAGGAGCCGTTTTTGTTTATTCACTCATGGAACCTACACAAATATTAGATAAAATACAAAAACTGTGTTCTCGCACTGACACTTCCACTGTGAAATGGTATTTGTATTTCCTCTGGGTATACTCCCCCGCCTCCAACCTCTCTGTCTCCTACATACAAATACAAATATCCTTTCTTTTCTCTCCTGAACAGATTGTTGCAAAGGGAGAGGTTTTCCTGCAAGTCTGCTCTCCTCATTTTACTGTATTTCAAAATTTTCAGTGAATTCATAGTGATAAATGCTTCCTGGGCAGAGAATAATAAACACAAGATGCCTGCTAGTCTGAGGGGCTCTGTATTAACCTTGCAAAGGTGTCTTCAGGTTCTGTTTCAAAAGCTATTTCTGTCCTATTTCTGAGTTGGTGTGATCTTCTGTAAGCAGACTGATTTTTGTAATCCCAGGTATCCCTGTGTGTGGTGACTGGCCTTGATAGTGCACTACTTTATGCCCTTCTTACTGAAGAGAGTGAGAATGACACCTCTGAGTTTGTCTAGAAAAGAGTTGGTTATGTAGGGCCATGAAGCAGGATCTATTAACACTCTGTGAAAACCGCACATATGATGGGAAAATTATTCTTAGAACGAGTGTTTTTGTGAGATCTGGAGTTACATATTGAGGCTAGCTCTTGAATTCAGCTGAGCTGTATTTGGTGCAAGTCCTTAGGTAACGAGGCACAGGAGGTGTGATCCTCTCTCTCTCCCTCTCTGTCATTGTGGAGGCAGGAGAAGGGCCAAGCTCACGGCTCCTCCTGTGCTGCTGCCGCTGGGGACACCAAGAGACTGCAGAGTCATTCCACCACTGCCAGCCCTTCGGATGGACCCGCTACGTTGTGGGACGTGGATCGTTTCCACTCAGCTGTGTATTGAAATCTGTGAGTACTTTGCAGCAGTGATGTGAAAAGGTTATAGAGATGAAGGATCAGGCCCATTACTTCCCTTGATCCACAACTCTATTCAGCCAGGCATAAAGAGCAAATAAAACCAAGCGATTGAATTTACATATATTCAGTTGTTAAACCAAAGCAATGTTCAATCTAAATTATCTTCCAGTTGAAATCACTGGGATGGTTATTAATGGTAATGGTTTTAGAGTGAGGAAACAGTGAGTAAAGCATGCGAAGAAAGTTCAGGGGTAGCTACTGACCCCAAAATGGCAAACATTGCAGTAAAATGTCACTAATACTGTTTATTATTTTTGACTTGACTTGAGGGTGGTGGTTTGGTATATTACATGCTCACTGTAAGTGCATCTAAATATATATCCATTACTTGAGAGGAAAAAAATCTGGTGTTTTCCTTTCATACAATCTTCTGAAAATGCCTTGTAATTTTCTCGTTTCCCCTGCTTCCAGAAATGGGTTGTTTTAGCTCTTAGCTACCATGGAGCTGGCTATTGAGAATGAAGAAAAAAGCAAATCAGATGCTAGCAAAGAAAGCCAGTTTTTGATTTCTCCTATAGTTTGTGTCAGTGTGAAATCCGTAACACAAAGGAAGAGGATCAGGATTTCTGTGAGAAGGGTCACACTGATGCTTCCAGTCTCAGACCCTGCAGACCCTCTCAGCACCTTCATTGTCAATGCCCATGTGAGCGGCTGCCAGCAGCACAGTTAATGTGCAGCACAGGCTGCAACTCTTCCTGGGCAGGGAGTGTGTGAGGAATGAAGGAATTATTCTGTCAACTCAGTCTTGGCTACCATCTTTCCTATAGGCTTGTCTGCCTCTTCTCCATCACAACTTAAATGTCCACCTGCCATATGACAGGGAGCGAGGGACAGGGTCCTGCTGCTATCAAAACTCTACACCCAGCTCACAGCTCGCTCAAGTTCAGGGAAAGGGGGTCCCCAAGAGCTCGAGGTGAGATCAATACAGCCCAAAGGCTCAGAATTAGGACTGTCTCCCATGAAGGCATGGCTGGAAATGACAGTAAATAATGCAGTCCAGGTATCAATCTCTATTAATTGCTGATCAAAGCTGTATGAGAACTTTTCTGACAAAAGAGATGTCTTTATAATTACACTCCACACCACACATTTAACTCAAACAGGAACAAAATATAGAACCTTTCATAGCAAAGAGTCAGAGCAGGCAGGTCATTGCCACATCTGATCTTTTGGTAGAATATCTGTGCTGCAGCATCACAGCACTCCTGCAGTGAGTCTTCCCTCTGCAATTCCTTCACTGAGGCATGATTGCAATATCAGATCCTCAGCATCAGTATTAGAAGTTCTGAATTCTCTAGTAATTTAAAGCTCTGAGAAGCTAAAGGATCCTGGAATCTTGTAAACCCTCAAAGGGAGTGAGCATTACGATCACAGGAGTAAACTTTTCATGTATTGCTAAACCTGTATTCAGACAAAGGACCACACACAGTGAAAGAAAATTCTTAAGAAATTTCAAGGGTTTCCTTCAAGGGCCGTGGAACTCCTGCTACTCTTAATTTTGCAGTTGTTTACTCTGTAAAGATTGAAAATTTTTTAATTCCCAGAAAAAGAATTGCTTAGATGAAGTTTGTTATCCCTCACCTCTGCTTTCTGAAGTGATATTACCAGAAATAAATGGGACAGAGGAAATACTTGCTTATTGCTTTACTGGGTAAGACCTTTTCAAATTTGGACTTTTTCTTGTTATGTTTTAGTAAGTCCCAATCAGTATTGAAAACTCTGTCTGGGAAACTCCCAGTGAGATCAAGGGATTTTTTTTCAAATAATTGTAATTTATTGATAGAATATCAAAAACGTTGAAAAGCCTGAAACTCAGACCACTTATAGCACCTTGAGTATCTTAAAAGAGAAACTTTGCCTTCCCATGCTGCTGCTGCTGCTGCTGCTTAAAGACTAGAACTCTCTTTCATTTCACCTCTTCACTGTATATTGCAAAAATAGAGTTGTTTGAAGCCAGTGACGTATGGAAGCAATTCATTTCCCAGCAACAGATGCCACCATAACCAGCACAAACAACCAACTCAGCAGGGTCATGCAAGAGGGTAGAATGCTGAAGAATAATTTTTCAAGCCCTATTTAAAAAAAATGCAGCACATTATTTATAGTGCATTGTTTTTCGGTACACACCTGCAATGTTTTGCTGGCTATTGCACTGGATGGATACCTAGTTGGAGGGAAGTCAGTTTATCACTTCCAGTTTTTCCTGACATTCCTGTCTACCTGAATGCTCTTGATACACTGCAGTTTTGCCCTCACCACTAGGCTTCCCAACCTGATGCAACTTTTATATGACATGTTGCTGTGGCTTTATAAGTTCTGTAAACTTCATGGGCTAAGACTAATATGTAATATAAATAGGAAAAATAAGAAGCTTTGCTGGTTTGTAACTTAATATTGATTCATATCTTCCTTTTTCTCTTTGAAAGATGTATCAAAAGCATTAAGGAGGAACATTTTATATCCTAAGTGTAAGTGTCCTACTCCTTCTAATTGAATTATGAAGTAGGCACTGGAAAGCTCCTTCCAGTTGTTTGGGAGAATGAAGCCCTTAGAAAATGGGACACTATCTAGTTTGAATCTGCTTTGACAGGACAGCAGAATGTGTGATCCTTTCAGTTGGAGGGATCCATGGTACTTGGATTCCTGAATAGAAATCAAAACTTCCTGGCCAACTTCATTTGTGTTGATACTTCAAGATGGCTTTGTGTCAGCAAATATTTACAGGAAACACTGCGAACAAAGATGAGGGTAACCAGTGCAACTCTGTGGGTGCCACAATTTCTGCCAGAAACTGTTTCTGTCACAGCTGTGCCACAGGGAAGCGTCGTCTTTTCCCATTCGGGGAGGATTAAGTCTGTGCTGCTGAGATAGAAGCTGTACAATCGGAGAGGGACCCACTGCAGGAGAAATTCAGTGAACTGACTGAGACTGCCTAAGTCTTGACTGAAAAGAACCACCAACGTTTCCCATGTCCTGGTCAATCCTTTGTTTCATGTTGAACTCTGAATTAGGAAAGTCATGTAAAAGCTGGGAGGCGGTTTTTTCCCAGAGTATTTGGGCACTTGTGGTACAGGTTATTGGTTGTGAAGGGACTGATACAAAGCGAGTAGGCTTTGATGCATGGCACCTCAGCGCAGTCTTAGACAGCACTGTCTGAACAGAAGTGCCAGAGATGATCTAAACAACAGGAGGAAGAAAAGGGCTAGTGCTGTCAGACACATACAGCTGCTGAGGAGAAAAGCCATCCTGTAATACCAAGTATAGAGAAATTCAATAAGTTCACTTTGTGTGTCAAAACATATTGCAGAAAAAACTATCCACAGGATGTGACAGCAAAAGGAAATGAATGCAATCACAAAATAGTCAGTAAGATAGAGTGAAAATATAAAATAAATGTTATGTGGAGACAAATGCAGAAATACTGTTAGTGCCAGTAAACAACAGAGTACTCTCTGTCTTTCACAGGTAAATCATGGACAAATCTTATGTATTCTCCTGAAAAACTCATTATGACTTTAAATGAGAAGGATACAGGAAACAGCTTTATATTAAGGTTTATGTTTTGACTGAAGAATAATCTGGAATGGTCTGTGTTTCATAAGCTGTACCCTGAAAAGGCATGATAAAGTCTTATTGGTCACAAAAAATGGTAGAAACAGAACAATGGAAATAACAGAAGTTACAGTTGGGAAATATTTGGAAATGGGCATTATGATTCTTGTTGAATCTGAGCAAGTTTCCCAAGTTCAGAGAATATCAAGAAAAAGTATCTTTTTATTTTGTGAAAAAAAAAGAAAAAAAAAGTGTTTCATTTATACATTATTTTAAACTGTATCTTATTTAAGATACACTCACTTCCTTAGATGGAAAAGATAGACTTCTAAAATTGGAAAAAGGACACTGTCAAAGGGACACTGTAATACTGGATTATACAAAGTATAATTATACCACAGGAAGAGAAGCTGATTTAGTTCTGGAGTAGGTACATAGGACACAATTCAAGAAGTAGTTACCAGAAAACCACTTCTGGACTGAAAGTCAACATGGTTTTGAGAAGGAAAAGGATAAAAAAAATTCCACTGCAGTAATATTTAAGTTTGAGAGAGCGAGGAGCAAGCAGATTAAAACGAGGAACTTAACTAAAAGAAAACTGAAAAGAACATTTAAAAAGATCTAATGCAAACAGCATGGAGGCAGGCTGGAGACAAAGTGTATGAGAGACTCAGAATAATCACATATAACTCATCTCTTTTTTTTTAAATTATAAAAATCAACTCCTTTTAAGCTAAAAAACCCAAACCCCAAATTGAAAACAGCAGAATGTAGACAATTTTGGAAAGACACCCTTCAAAAGTGTAAGTCTTCTCAATGAAGAAAGATAAGGGTGAAAAAAAGCATAAAATCTGTCAATTTAAATATAAACCACAGTATTTTGAGAATCAACTTCCTATAGACACAAAAGTTAATAATTCTTTTTTGTTAATATAACCACAGTAGAAGCAGGAGGCCTCTCAGAGAGATGACTGGGAAGACAAGCAATCAAGGTATTATTAATTCATATTATGGTTAAGTAATAATTTAATATAAAATTAAATTGTTTAATTACTATTACATTTAATAATTTAATTGACTTTTAAATAATATTGAATTTAATTAATGGTTTTCACTGATGTTCACAACAAAGAAGGTTAGAGAGATTCTCACAATCTGAGGAACCTTCTCAGTGTTTGTTATCATCTGAAGCAAATGATATCTAACAACAAGAATTGCCATAAGGAGATGTACACCTAAGAAGTATTTTAAAGGAACTTAAGCATGATGTTTCTGAACTAACTCCTGTAGCATAATAACCTGCTTATGCCAGCCTTGATGCCAGAAGAAATGTTTAACTGTGGTACCATCTTAAAAAAGGACTCAAGGACTGATCCTTACAGGAACAAAATATAAAGCAGACACATGTATATGATATTGTAAAAGAGCCATGTTGTTGTCATGTCTAGAGTATTGTGTAGTTTTAGCCTAACCAAATAAAAAAAATGACACCATGGACCCAGAAGAGATCAAGAAAGCACAGATGACCAGAGATATGGCACAGTTTTATGACAAGATAAGACAGATCAGGATTTGTCATTTAGAAAACTGGAGTGGATAATGTCAAGTCTATGTCATTAGACATGGTATAGCAGAGCTAAATACGGGTGTGTTATTCTGTGTTCCTTCCTATCTAAGGAGGTACAGGCTTAACCATATAAAAACATTTAAAACAAACAAAATAACATACCCTTCACTCATTGTCTCATTAAAATGTGACATGTACTGCCATAAGATACCACTGAGGTCAAGCTTATATCAGCAGGGTCTCTCCCTCTGATCAGCAGCGAGCAACCACTGCGAGTATGATGGAGGGTTGAGCTCAAAAAGCCAGGTTATTGCTGGTGACTGAGAAGGCAAAGAATAAATCCTTCCTGCTTCTTCCTGTTTGCCATAAATTCCTGCTGCTCATCACTGCTGAAGCCAGGATTTGAGGGGACACGGAGTATTTGTCAGCTCCAACAAGGTTACGTTTTCATGATGCTATCGTCATAATAGTAATAATAATAAACCTCAGAAATTTCTCCCTGTTTTTTGGGAAACGTTTTGATTTTTGATGTAACTGTATATCTGATGAAATTTACTAATGTGGTTTTAGCCATTTAAACACATTTAAAGTTGTTTTAACAAGCTTCAGGCATCCTTTAGGTGGGCGCTAATTCCACTGTTCTGTCTGGTGTGTGCTCCACAGGCTGGAAAGGAGGTAAGTGATACAGTAAGCTGCACTTAGCAAGACCCCTGTTTTCATGTTCAGATGTATCTTGTCACTAGGTTAGATAACTGCTGGGGTAGCAACTGCATTTTTTTATATATACATATATTTATAAAATATGTATGTATGTGTATACATATATATGTGTGTATATGTAAAAATATATAGATAAAATCAATCTGGTAAATCTCACTATTTTTCCCAAACATAGCTTTAAACTATTAATTCTGGGAGCCACACTCACTTTTTATATGTGAAAAAAGTGAAGACTCTTACAAAATGTTTTCCCCCTGCTTCTTGGAAGTTCATTTTTTTTTTTTTCTGCTCAGTAAGAATTTTATCATAATTTCATGCCCCCACACTTCATGGTTTGTTACTTAGTCTATTACTCTCACATTTTACTTGATAAGGTCCTGCTTCCTATGATCTTCATTTCTGAGTTTTGATTCTTCACAGCTGCTGCTTTGAAGTCTTAGATAACATTCTGAGCATTGCACACTGTTCCTGATTTTAAACTTTTCATTCAACTGCAGTTCATAGCTCTGTTTCTCCCAAATAACTTTTCAATAAATGTTACATTCTAATATTCTAAAATTAATGTTTTGCTTTTAATCAGGGCAAAACTGTGGACTCCTTTCTTAAAAATAGCTAGTAACTTCTGTCAAAAGGTTTATCCTCATTTCAATCCTTTCTTCAAAGGAATTTAAGTCTGTTACTCAGTTCAGGAGGATTCTGAATCACTGCGTATTTCATATACGCAGGAAAGTGAGAACTGATGCTCATACTTGTCTTCGTGCCCTCTCTTTCACCACCATGTTCTTTTTGACCCAATCCTGTCCAGGGCCTAGAAATGCATTTGTCAGTAACTTACTGCATTGGATAATATGAAACTATGCTGGAACAGCAAGTGTGTTGCTGAATGGCTGTTAGCTGGAACCAGGCAGATATAAAACCTCAGGTTTTGCCCTTGCTTTCCCTCTTGATCTACAAGAGTGCAGATGAATCTGGACTGCAGGTCAACATCAGGTATATATTCTCCAACCTTTAGATCTTTAGTTATTAATTTGAAAAATTTGGTCTGAGGTTTTTTTTTCCACTTTCTTAAATGGACAAAAAATGAGCAAGGACCTCATCTCACGCTGAGCTGAGGGTGTTTCCAATCTCAAGGCAATAAGGATGTATGAATGGAGAGCTGAGATCACTGTGGTTGGAGCAGTACTGCAGATATTCCCGCTGTTTTCTCTCTTCTGTGTGTTTTTTATGTGAAGAGTCCTAATTTTTTCATTCCTTAGACCTTTCTGTGCAATGTCCACAGATGTGTCTATGGAAACAAACATGCAGTTCTCATGCAAGTTATTTACAACCATGTGAGAGCACAGATGATGTATCCTTAGAATTAACACTTGCAAATTGACACCTTGTTCAATTATACACACTGAGTCATGAAGAAATGAAAAACTTTTGCCAGCATTAAACGTCCTTCAGAGTCATGATATGGGGCAGAATTGTGAATAATGAAATATCCATATTATACAAAACTACTTACAGATATTAGCAGTGCCCTTAGGTATAGGCAGATAAGAACCAGGGCTCCATGGTCGGCCCTGATAATTCTTCTTGCATTTTCCACAGTCTGGGCCAGTTGTATTATGCTCACATTCACAAAGTAGTCTTTTGTTTTCTTCTTTACAGCCAGTAGCATGAAGGTTGCACTTACACCTATTTTTAAAAGGCAAAAATAAAACAAAGTAGAATATTATTTAGGGGTGAGGTGAGTTTGTGTTCAGATCATCTTAGAAAAGCATGTCCTACAGCAACCACTTGATTTCAGTGTTGTGGCTGTAGTATTGTTCTGCCATGCTTTGTAAATAGCAAGTTGCAGTATCTTCAGCTTGCACAGGTCTAAAAGTAGAAATTTCACCACGACTTCTTTCTTGTTTTCACTAATGCAGCTCCACTGAGAGCAACTAAATTATTCATAATTTTTACTACAGACTGGTCTATAATCTTGCAGGAATTCAAGGGTTACTCACTATTCCCAGGAACAGAACAAGTGCTCTGCTTATATCCTTAGAGAATCTGGCCCAAATTAAGATCCAAATTAGGCCCTAGGAGCCTGAGAAAACACACTTCACTTAAATATCCTCTGCAATGCCACACTTTGGTAGAAGGGAAGCTAACTATAATGATGTCTTGCCATTCTTGTTCAGAAAGTAGTGTCTTGCTATTCTTGTTCAGCAAGTACTGTCTTGCTCAGAAAGGGAAAAAAAAATTTCCTGCTGTAATTTGATACAGCTGTACTAGCTGAAGGTCAGAGGAAATATTTTGGTAGGCACACTTAGTTTTACTTGGGAACGAACACCTAATTGAACCTTGTGACAAAATCATTAGATAAACTAGATTCTGCATCTGGTCTTTGAACAATTGTATTTTCCTTAAATTCCTCTCTTTCCCTGAAACTGGGACACTTACAGAATGGGAAGTTAGTTTCATAAACAGTAAGGCATTGTCATCTCTTTCCATTCCTTTCCAATAGATGCCAAAGCCAGCTAAAATCTGTTTCTGTTGGGGGATGGAGAGAAAACTAGTATTTAATGACCTTTCCTGTTTGTTTTCCTCATGATTGTACATCTAGTGATTTAAAGGGTTCTCATGTGGGCATTTGTCACTTGTTCCATACAGTGACCAATAATTAGAGCAAAACAACACATGGAATGGCCAAGTGCAAATTAACAGCTGTCAAGCTGACTTCCATTTGGAAGGAATATGACCTGGAGCAATTGGCCACATACATATATATCCCCAGGGTAAAACAAGCTTGCAGTTGTCATAAGTGGCTGCTGGAGAAAATCCCTAAGAATATGTAATACAGTAGATGGTGGATCATTCTCCTCAATGCTAGAAATGAGACAGATGAAGCTGCTGTTATTTGAGCAATGCTCATTCTGAAGAAAAACAGGTTCAGCACCTTTAAAATTGAAATTGCTAAAATGTATTGAATATGCTAGACAACAGAAAGAGTGAGTCATTTCTATGCAATGTCCAAAATATTGGTGCTTGAAGACTAAATCAATTGTGAATTTTCAATGAGTGGCCACTGCAGAATGAAAGATGCCTGTCTGGGTGTCAGTGGATTAGATGTGCCTATTCACATAGAGATTGAAGATTTTGGTAAATGGAACTGCTATTAAGAAAGGGAATGGGTGATTTTACTGTCCATGCAAATATGAACATGGAAGACTCCAAACAGGAGAGATATAAAATAATAATGAGACCAAAAAATAGAGTCAGAGGAGAAAAGCAGGAGAGTCTGTGGAGTCACTAGAACAAATGAGAAAAAGGAAGAGACTGGATTTCTTTCAGGAGGAGATTTCTATTTTGTTGTAGGGACTCATCACTGTCAGAGGCAGCAAACTAATTTAGGCAAGAAGGAAAAAAAAGGCTGATTCTGAGGAAAAGCTGTAGTTCCTACAAGTAGTTCCTGAAAGGGTGCCGCAGGGTGGTAGGGGAAGAGAGGTGGGAGAAAATAAATGTATGTCCATCTGCTAATGGGTGTAAATGTGCACAGCTCTTTTAATAAGCACCCGAAAATAAAGAATGGTTGTGTCAGAAAACCTTGTGCAAAATCTCTTTGCACTTCTTAGATGCTGTGCTTGTCTTGTTCCAGGAGAGACAGACTGATCCTTCCTTGGTTTTGGTTGTAGACAGTGTTGAAAGAGAACAAAAAGCACCTATAGAAAACAAAGTGGAAGGTACAGCCTCTGGGGAAAACCAAACCAGTATCAAATTCCGTGGTGTATGCGGGACCTTTTTTTAGGAAGGCTGCACTAGGAACTGGGCAATCTGTCCGAGGGACCAGTCTCAGAAACTTCTGCAAAGAGAACTGTCTGTTGTGCGAGAGGAACTGACTTCTCTGGACGACTGAAAGAGGTAAATGTGTGTAGCAGGGCTGAGAGATGGCTAGAGTACAATAAAAAGTTAATTCTGTTTGTAGGATAAGCAGTAAAAAAAAAAAAAAAAGAAATATTTAAGGTTACAGAAAGAAGACCATTTAGGTAAAAGTACAGATGGACCATGAGAGAACCACCCTGGCAATGAGATACATTGGATTGTGAGTGGTGTGAAAACAAAGCAACAGAGTCTGGACCTTTGTCATTTCAGATGTCAAGCAAATGAGCACCACTGATCTGGTAGCTGACTTATACTCCAAGAAGATCACTGTCAGGATGAGGACATCAGCTTCCTATGGAAGACTGCCCAAGATCAGCTCCTTTTTAAGGAAGGTTACCTTTCTTTTGTACTCCAAAGGTAAGGAAGTCTTTTGTTACCTTATAGTATATCCATGATGATAAATTATTACTGAAAATCCTAGGTACCATTAAACACTTTCTTTAAAGGCAGTTCCTAGCTGTCCTGCTTTAAATCTGAGATAGCAACAAAAGGTTTATGAGATTTACATACAAAGCACATTCAACACAAGATTTCATATAGCCTTTGTTGATCCTCCCATTAGCAGAATGTTGTCACTTTGGCTGCATGTGTAAGAATGGAGGAGTTCTGAAAACCTAAAGAGCTGTTTCTACATCCTGTGTATTGAGTTCCAGATGACAGTATTTTTTGTGCCTATACAATTCTTAAAATCCAAAGAAAAAAGTCAAAGTCCTGTGTGAGGTATTACGTACACACGCCCAGAAATGCAATTACTGGGTAGCAGTGGGTGGGGAGCAGCTGCTTGGCACACCAAGTAGGTTTGCCTGTGCATGGAGAAGGGACGACAGAGGGAGCTGCAACAAGTACAGCAAGTTTGAGAATACAGGTCAAGGTCTGGCAAACGTGGGAGGACGTTTGCTGCAGCATGTGCACTGCACTGGCAAACAGCCTGAGGGCAAAATCTCATGGAAGGACACAGCAAATGTTAAGGGCAAAGTGCAGTTTTGAGGTACGGTACATGCTCACTGTAAATGGCACTGCTGAGGTCTAATGCTTGTATGACTTTACAAAGAATGTCTGAAGTCCATGATTATAAATATCAACAACTCCATGGACAATTAGGTCACATATGGGGAGATGCAGGCCTTGAAATAGCTTTCTACCTGAAGGGAAAAGTTGTCCGCCTATTATATCTGGTGACAGTTTTTCCAGACTTTTTTTTTTTTTTTATTGCTCCTGGTGGAGGCAGCTCTGTCAGCGTTGAGCTTGTGGAAGTGAATGCCATTGCTCCACAATACTTGCCTGCATTTGGAAACTTCCACCCTGATGTTGCCACAGTACAGCTGATATCCATCTTTCCAGTTCAACCTGTAAGGACTCTCCCTGCTAAGCAGCCTGGTTATAGCACATGCAGGAACACATTTCCCTCAACGTGCAAATTCAATTTTGAATCGCTGGAGATTGATATTGCTGTCCAACGCTATAAACTCTAATTGTGTGGGAGAACAAATTTGTTTTTCTGACCACTCATCTCTGACAGACTCATTATTTTGTCATAAAGCAATTGAAATGATATTTTTGGCAGTTACATAAGGCGCAGGAAGCACTCTGGCGTGCTGAAGGAGCAGTGTTGTTGTAGTGGGAGCCCTGGGTGCGCTGTGTTCCTCACAGACTCTATTTACATACAGACAACTGACATTAAAGTGCTGTAAATATCACCAAGGTAATTGCTAATAGCGTGCTGACGCTCTCGCATGGGAGTGCCAACCAACAGACTGGGGGGCACGTGAGGGGATGGCTGATGTTGAAGAGATCATTCATGAGAAAGAAAGACAAGAGAAGCTCTTTGATACATTTTTAACGACTAGCCATATGTTCCTCACTTAGATACATCTTTGAATCATTCTAGGTCATCGCCAAAGTTTAGAAAATCAACTTAAAAGCAACTTGGAAGCCTTCTGCCCAAACTCTTTGCTTTTACATGCCACGAGCTGGCTCTCTGCTCCCAGGTAAACAAAGCCTGAACTCGCAGAGGAGTTGGTATGTTTGCTCTTCACGTTACTGCCCACACATTGTAAAATACCATCCCTGCACAGTTTTAATTAGGCATTTTAAAACACTGATAGCAACGTTAGGAGCCTTAGCCAGCTCCTCAGTGCTAGCAACTACTTCCAGCACCATGTTAGAGTTGTCCTAAAGGACTTGGCCATGCTTTTCATGACATCAAACGTGTTAAGGCTGTCATCTACATTATGCTTCTCAAGCTTACTAATGACCTTAAGGCAGCTTCACCAGTGAGATTTAGCTTTTTAATACAGTCTAGACAAAGATGAAAATTCCACGTTACAAACACATAAGTGTTACCTCAGGCAGGAAGGAGGAAAAGATGTAAGTTGAGAAAGTGAAAGTCAATATATAAGCACCTTTAAAATATACCATGAAATCTTTTGGGTAAAATCAGCTTTGCTGGTTCATTATTTTTCAGATTTAAAAATTTTTTTTGACTCTTTATGAGGCAAATTCATCATAAGTTGAAGAACTGTCTGTACAGGTAAATTACAAAATTTTTGCACCATTGAGTGTGCAAGGTAAACAACATGAAAATACTTATCTAAAGTCTGATTTTCCTTTAGTTTTCTCTAACAAGTGGAATATGTTTTCACTGAGGTTCACATTTCCTGAATATTGTTATTGATTATAAATTACAATATATACATTATATATATATATATATATAAATTCATTATATTGTAAGATTTTTCCATGTCATGTCAAAAAACCCCCAAAGT